ATAGATATATAGATAGATCGAATCCTAACCACTCAACAATAGACACCAAAGTCAGAAAACAGAGCAGAACCCCCTCACCCGCCAAAAAAAAAGAAAGAAAAAGAGAGAAAGCCACTGGAAAAACTCCACAAAGCTTCATTCTATACAGGCACACACTCATGCAATCATACACACACACACACACACACACACATACACACACACACACACACACACACACACATGCACGCACAAAACACAACAGAAACAAATAAACATACAAACAAAACCAAAAAACCCCGCACATCTACACCTTTCCTTAAAAATAAGAAAATAAATAATTTAAAACAAGTAACAGACACACACACATAAACACACATACACACACACAGACGAACACACACAAACACACACGCACACACACACATCCCACTTACCCAGTCTCCGCCTCTTCCCATGAGAAAACGTCTGTCCCCTGGCACGGGGCGGGGCCAGCACGGGAGAGCCCCGCCCATAAACCGGAGACCCGCCAAACGTGTGCATCTGAGACTCCGCCTCCCTGTCGCCGTCCGAGTGTAGCCTTGACCTTGGCAGCATCTGACCCGGGCTCGACAGACGCTCGATAATGTCCTTGACCTCGGGGATGGAGGAGGGGTTCACGCTGGTTGGACGGAATGGAGAAGGGGGCGGGGCTAAAGGTTCACACTTTGTGGGCGTGTGGGACTGCAGGACGCTGGTACTGGCGAGGGGGGCGTTCTGCACGGAGCTGGGCGGGGCTTGAGACATGCAAGGGGAGGGGCTCTGTGGACAGTTTCTCTGATTGGCTAAGCTATTAATAGGCATATTGGGGAGGCGAAGGAGCTGTCCCTGACTGGCGAATATCTGAGGCGCGAACGTGTTGCAAGCGTGGAAATACTGTGAGCTGTGATTGGCCAGAGCTGAGTCGCTGTGGTACTGGATTGTCTGAGAGGACGATAGGGGCGTGGCTAGATCTTCCTCTTCGAACGAGAGGCGTTTCCTCGTGTGCTGTCTGTCGCCCACGTTCAGCTCCGACATTTTCTGGGCGGGGCTAAAAGGGGAGGTGCGGAACCCGTGGGCGTGGCGAGACTCGTAGCTTCTGCTGTCAGAGTTGTGACGTAGAGGGGCGTGGCTTTCCTTCTGGGGCGTGGACTCTTGGCTCAGTCGGAACGCCTACGTGGGGTAGGAGGGAAGTTTCGTTTTAGTTAGAGTTTTACAGCACATGCAACACAAATAAGTCATATACAAAGAAAAGAAGGAGAGATGTGGACGATAGAGGTTTGAAAGGAAAGAAGAAGGAGCGAACCACACCAGAGCACCCCCCTACCACCCCCTTAGGGAGATAGGGAAGAATAAAGGAGGACGTATAAACAAGACGTTCTCACTGTTTTTGACAGAACAGTTGATTGATGGCAAACACAAGAGGGACCCCCCC